CTATGCACAATTGGTTTGAATGTGTACCGCACTATCAAGGTCACCAGAGGTCAGATACAGATTGCCTCAACTGACTCGTCACCCTGGTAAGCAAGAAAATGGAGCAGAAGGTTGTTTGCTTGTGCCGTATCAGTCTATCCAGAGCTTTATATGTCTGCGCCAGTAATCTCCAAATCCAGAGATAGATGCTGAAACCCACTCTGGGAGCACTGTTCAGTAGGGTCCAGTATTTGGGGTCTGCACAGACTGGAGTGTGGCCCAACTGACTTTGCATTAGTTCTGTGTCTAACTAGCTGGAGCTGTGGATATAGTGGATATCATTAGCTACCAGTGTTGCATTAGCCCTTCTGAAAGAAATCTATTTAATATCAGGTGTGAAGACAGACAATAACTTTCAGCTCTGGCAAAAACCCAGTGTCTTTTAAAGCCAGTTGAGGGAATATCAAATATCATCATTTTGGGAAAAACATGATAGTTGCTGAGCTGTTGTATCTAATTGTTACAACTGTCTTCTTGTATTTTTAAACCATAAAACAACAAATGTTGAGGGTTGCAAATTCTCCTGCCACCCAAAAAAAGGCAAAAAAAATATTTTTAAGTTTAAAGTAAACAGCATTTTTGTTCATTTATGTACGAGTAGATCTACTACATGTGAATCCATGCTGTAATAGATGGTGATATTTCCCCGGTAATAGAACTGGTGCTGCACTGATTTTCCACTGCAGCCAGAGAGAGTCAGGGGAAATGACGTTAAACAGATCCTGGGCTTTTGAGAAAACCATTCGGGGCTGAAGCCCCAGAGAAAGAGGGTCATTTTCAAAGAAGCTGAATACAAGCGTATGTGTTTTTGCAGCCAATGTAGCTGCCCCCTGCTGGTCGTGAGAAAGAATGCAGGTTTAAGTCACCTAGGCATTGGCTTCAGTTCTCAGGCCCGGAAGCTTTATCCACTAATGATATACTGTCAGAGGTGACTGCAACATAATGCTGCAGTCCTGGCAGTGAGAGTGTGTATCAGTCCTCTCACTCTGACACTTTATCTTGTCACATGTTTTGCTCGTTCATAACAAACACTGAAGCAGATTAAAGTGAATTAAACTGAAGGTGAGTAGAGGGAGCCAGGGGGAGGAAGGGAGGTTCCTGTCCAGGCTGAGAGAGCCAGGGACTTTTCCAGTGGGAGAGGGGGGGTCGGTTGGTTTTGTGGATGGGAGTCATTTCCGTGTATTGTTTTAAAGCTCTGAGGAGGTGGAGGAGGGGGGATTTGAAATGTGTGACAGGGAAAGAGAAAGTGTTACTGAAGTGAAAGACAGCAGTAGTTTCTATGACGCGGATGATTCAAGTACTTGAGTATTTCCATTTTCTACTACTCAGGGATAGACACTTATATTTCTAAGCACTGGTCCCACAGGTCATGATGTCCCTAAATTTGGTGGCCAAAGTAAATTTTTGGTGCTCCAAATGTAAACTTGAAAAACAAGTAGATATATGCAATTCACAAAATGCATCTTGATACACACATTTATCCAAAATAACAATGTAAATTCTCTAATTCTAATTTGTATGGTGTGTCTGACAGACTCACCAAGAGTGACCTGTCAATCATAAGGTTGCCACACCCAAAAGCATACCCTGCTTTATCGTCTATTTCTACTTTAAATTTGACCATAACTTACTAAATGGACATCATAATGTATGCAAGAAGACTTGAAACAAGCGACTGAGACCATAAACTCATCAGGAAACTGTTTACTGAGCTCATAAATGAAGTGACAGTTCAGCTTATTGTCCATTAAAGTGAATGGAGTCGCTGTGTTATTGCAGCCAATGGAGCTCCCCCTGCTGGCCTTTACATAGAATGCAGGTTTCCCCCTTGGCTTCACTTTTCAGACCAAGAAGCTCTGTCAGTTATATATACTATTATGGTTGTAATGTTAGTAAGCTACGTTAACTAAGCTAGCGGCTCAGAGCTAACAGAGCTAACCAGCCATGAGCAGCTGAGACACAGACAGCGGAGCTTTCACAGTCACTAGAAGCACATTTACATCCGTTTGTGAAAGTTTCTGTGTGATACTTTTGTTGTACTTTTTGTTCTCTGGAGCATCAGGCTACTACTCAGCAGGCCTCAGTCTGCTGCATATAGTCTGCTACCCATATACACAGGTTTTCAGCAGAAACAAATGGTTTTGGGGTTTAGTTACTCTTTAAAGAAAAAGAGTGTCTAATGGGGAGCTGTGCTGACACAAAACAGCAGACAGATATTTGGTAAAGAACAACTTCATTTAGTAACTAAAAGACAAGCTCAACAACACCAAAACAAATACCACGAGCTAAAGTTAACATGCAGGTTTAAAGTGCAAGTCTCTTAAAGAATAAAATGGTGGCAGTGGAAAGATTTTCCCACTTCATAAAGTCCAGGGTCCAATCCAGATGGATTGGTGGGAGCTCCAGTCGCACACTGCCTCATGACATCTCAACGCTGAACACAGAAGGGGAGACCAAATCAACAGACATGTCTGTTGTCTCCTACTGCATCAAGAGTTATAGATGTAAAGTGGAACAGTTTGCTGTATTAATAAGAGTGAGCCCAAAATAACTGTAAAAAACAAAAAATGCATGCAAATAAAACAAATCAAACAAAAAGCACAAAATAACAAATACAAAAGTACCAAACACTGTGGCTGCAGTTTGCCCATGCTGGGCCACGCGTCCTTGAAGTGGTCAATTATTCTTTGTGTGATAATGACTTTTCCTGTCGATGATAGTGACTTCAACTGTCAGTTAACTGACGTTCCTCTAGTCCTCTGCCTTCGTTAATGTCTCATCAAACGAGGACCCATATAAACTATCGCTCTCCTCCTCAAGGGGGTGTTTTTCCGCTTGTAGCACATTGATTTCTGTCCGTCAGTCCTTTAACAGTCCTCTAATGCCTTTTTGCCTGCAGAACACTACACTAATCTTTGCAGTCGGGTTATCAGCAATTTTCTGCGGCCTGTCATTGACTTCTTGAAGAGTCACTTCATGCTTCATTTTTTCGGTTGTTAGCATTTCATTAGTATGAAATAAAAGGCATTCCACGACACACAGCTACACTGCTCACTTTTGCAATGTGGACCGGGCTTAATTATTTTACAAGTTTTCTAAAAATGTATAATTAAATGTTACATAGGGGCATTAACTGATGCAAACTTTTTGTAAATTTAGGAAAAATCTTTGCAATCACTGCAAATAGCCAAAGTGTAGTACAACAAACGTATTTTCCACACGTCTGAAAAAAAACAACATAGCCCCAAGTCTCACAATTTAACAGTGGATGAAGAAACAATGTTTTTGCCGGCAGTGTCTAAAAGTCTTAACCCTCCTTCAGCCCTTTGAAGAATGTCCACACTAAACCAAATGGCCCCCACATGGATAGTACTGGAGCACACACACACAGAGAAAGGAAGGAGCTCATTTCTTCTGCAGGTCAGTGGATTTCCTCTGTTCTTATCACTTCCACAGGAAAAGGCTGAAGACAGAGGGGAGTAAAGGAGTGCAGGAGGAGTATGGGGCCAATATTGTAGCAAAACTATTTACAAATGTCAGTGGAGAGCTGTGTTACTGTATCTTAATCCATGTGTGTGCAATCAGATTTGTAAAAGTGTATAAAAGTAACATGTAAAAAGCCAATTGAGAGGCCCATCTGAGTTATAACTGATCACTTATTTCCAGCTCTTGGAGCACTTGGACTTTTCAGCCAACTCTCCACTCACATTTGTAAAGAGTTCTGCTACAATAATGGCCCCATAGAGGAGTGCATGCACATAGAGTTGTATGAGAGAGAGAAAACTAGACAGAAAAATGAAACACTTGTCCACACACTAAATAATAACTGCCTCCATTAGAAGTCTGACTGCTTGAGGCTGTTGAGAAGATGTGAATGTGTAATTATACTAAGTGCAAATCAGTGATATTTGAATACAGACACACTAGCTGTGTTTCCATCATCGTATTTTGAAGTGTTGTATTAGAAAGGTTTGATGAAAACAGCTAAATAAATGTAAAAAAAATCCTCAATTTCAGAAATTGAAACAGTCCGCTGGAGCTTTACAGTCACTAGAAGCACATTCATGGCTGTGTGTAAATGTTTCTGTGTGTGTTTGTGGAGGGAGTGTGAGTGCGTTATATCTTCATATAATGTCCACTGGTGTTTTTATAGCCGTCTAAAGCCCAATTCTGAACCATTGCATCAAAATAGAAAAATACTAAATAGAGGGTTAGCAAAAACTAGCCACTGTGAATGGTGTTTCTAACTCAGTTTAACAGACTCCCATTCAAAGTAGAAGCTGGGGGAGGTGGGCCGCCCTCTTGTGATTAAAGGGCATTAACACACTTTCTCATCGCTCCCATTGCTCTACAAAACATCCACGATCCCTCCACACAGATCCAACCTTCCTCACATGAAATGTCTTATTTCCATCCTGTTTTCTGGATTGTTTTTCACTGTCCGAGCTTCAACTGGTGCTCTTTTAATGGCGTCACCTTGTTGCGCCCTCTTCTTCTGGTTGTCAGCTGGAGAATTGCTACTGCTTATCTCAATGAAACAACTCCTAATAATCACATACCGATAGTAGAAACAAGCATTCATTCACATTTTCTTTTGCCAATTTGCTTGAAATTTGGGTAGTTTGTGATACATGTGGATGGAAACATGGCTTCTGAAGACATCTTTCCACACAGCTAACTTTATTGTGCAAGTTATGATCACTCATTCATTATTTATTTATCTTTAGCCTTGATAGCAGGCTAGCAGTAAAGTTTGTACGTCTCGACCTCTTTGGTCCAGACTGAAATGTCTCAGCAACTACTGGATGCATTCTTCCCTCCACCCCACATGGAGAGAGAGTTATAAACACTCTGCCAGCCGAGGAAACAGGAGGTGTGGTCTCCCAAGTCCTCGCTCTCTCTCTCCTCCAGCTGTTTAAAAGCAGCTGGTGGTCGTGCAAGTCTCCACTCAGTGATGTGGACGAGAGCAGACATGACAGCAGTGGGAGAGCTGGTGCTGGTGCTGGGCTTACTGGTGAGCGCTCACTGTGAGGTGAGGGCACGAGACCCTGAAGTGGAGGAGGAGGAGGAGGAGCTGGGAGGAAGAGCAGCAACAGGAGGAGGAGGAGGAGGAGGAGGAGTAGCGTTCCCTCCTCACCTCGAGAGGCTTTATCCTGGGGCGACAGAGACCCCCCCTCTGGGAGAGAGAGGGAACTACCCAGCCCGAACTGGGTGAGTGAACTCAAGCTTCACTTACTGCATTTTTTTCTGTGCTTTTGGCCATCTGAGGATGTTCTATCTTTCACTGAGGAAAGCTGTGTGAGGAAGTGGGACGTAGAACTGCATTGATTAATTTGTGAATTGATTAGTCAGATTGATAGAAAACTAATCAGTAACTATTTTAATTTGCTGCTTTTCCTTGTCTTATATCACAGTGAACTGAATATCTTTCAGTTATGGATGATTGGTCGGACAAAAGACATCTGATGATGATGTCGTCTTTGTGATGGACATTTTTCACTATTTCAATAATTAATTGATTCACTGTATGAATTTATCAGCATGTGAATAGAAAATGAAAATCCATATATTCTTATATATTTAATCATATAGTCTACAATATATCTATATTATCTTCATTATTGGTTAAACTAGTTGTTTGGTCCATAAAATGTCAGAAAATGTTGATCACTATTTCCCAAAGCCCAAAGATATTCAGTTTACTGTCGTAGAGGACTAAAGAGACCAGAAAATATTCCCATTTGAGAAGCTGAAATCAGAGAATTTGGACACATTTTCTTTAAAAAAAATGACTCATAATGATTAATTAATAATCAAAGTAGTTGGCGATTAATTTAATAGTTGACTAATCATTGCAGTTCCAATAACATTATACTCATTTAATATCTGAGATCATGGGTATAAAGTAAAAATATTTACTTAAGTTCGTACAATTAGTATTTTCAAAAACTGAAAACAGATTTGTGTGTGAGAACCTTCCTCTCCCATTAATCATCTGACAACCCCTCAGATTTATCTGGTGACCCTTTGGAGGGGGCCTGACCCCTAGGTTGGGAACCACTGGCCTAAATTAGCTAAGTGTATATAGAGTAGTTCAAGTAGCTAAAGCTCAGTGTGGTGTTGTTTGTGGTGTAGGTTGTTTTTGTCTTTAGTTGGTTGAGGTAGTCTTTGAGCTAATTGTGACAACTACACCAACAACAGTTTCCTCTGCCACTTCCTGGTAAGACCAGAACCTTCACATCCTCACAACATGTTTAGTATGTTTTATGTGATCTAAATTAACGTCCCTCAAGTTCAGTGAAAGGTACGTTTATTTTGAGTGCTGCAGATACAAAAGACCAAATTCACTTTGTCCTGCTCAGGTTTCACATATCAATTTTTTTAGGAACAAACATTTGACACACAGACCTCACACACTGATGTTTGTACCTTCTATATGTGTGAGGCTCTCATTGGACTTTCACTACACTCAACCTGATTCTCTGAATTCTAAAATATCAAATCAAATCAAATGTGGACCCTCAAACAGTCCTCTGAAGAACAAAATGTCCTCCCTGTCCAAAAACATCACAGCCTGAAATGCAAGTTTGGTCCTTACAAAGATAAAAGTACAATACACACACACACACACACACACACACACACACACACACACACACAAGTCACACCTAATGCATGAAGAAATACCAAGCAGGCGTTTAGATGTTTTGACTGCCAGCATGCTTATAATGGGCTGGTACCACCCATGCTGCTGACACACACACACACACACACACACACACACACACACACACACACACAAACACAGCCCAGACGCTGTACATTCATTTTATGACTTTATTAGCCTCAGACAGACTGTAGGTGTCCCCTTTGTGTTTGTCCTCCAGGTATTAGACCGAGCCAGTCCTCACAGGTTTCACACTGGGCAGAAAACAAACTTCAACTGCAGTTTATTATTTTATGTCTCGACTCAAAATAAAACCCGTAGCAGCTCTAAGGATGGTAATGTCTGTCTGCTGTCTGTTGCCATCGTTAATTCATAGTTGGCAGAAATGAGTATTTGTTAAAAGAAGAAGTTGCGGTAACAATGAACAATGTGGATTATCTTCTGTAGTGCAACACAGTCTGCCTTTTGAAGAAAAACGGACGCCTCCGTTCCCACCTGGTTTTGTTATAAACCAAATCTGGTCAAATTAATCAGAGATTTTTATGAGATGTTGTGAGAGAGAACTGTTAGCTTGTCATAGAAGATATTGTTTTGTTTCCTGTATGTGTTATTCAGACTTGATAGTACCTTCAGGATCTCTTTCCGTTTTTGAGAGGATTTCCGAACATGAAAGCCGCAGGACAGTGTGGTAAAACTGGGCAGCAGAGCGAACACAGTCACCCACAGTGACAAGACATACAAACAAGACACTGAGCAGTACAACAGGGACAAGCTCAGTCGCATTATCACCTGAGTTCAACTGTGTGAGGAATGTGGACCATTATTTTCTTCCTAATGCTTTGGTCACACTACATGACTTTGAAAGTAGTCAGACCTCTGTACTGTAATAGAGAGTCTTGAAGTCTTTGTGGTTTGCAAACTACATGACTGATCAGCAACGGGGTAATCCCAGAGTGTTTCATCAGGAGTCATATATTAACACCATTAATAGCGAGCACATCATGTTATTAGGAAATGTAATTACAAATGTACTTTAAAAACAGACACAATGGGCAACAATTTACAGCATACTGCTGTTAGGGAGAGGACAATTGGCTGATAATTAGCCTGATATGCAAGCATCATTAATCAATACACACATTAAACCATTAATCAAACTAATAACTAACTGCAGTCTACATTAGATAACCGTACTATTTAGCAGTTACTGAGTGTTTCTGTAGTGGTGACAAAACAATAAAAAATAAACACAAGCTAAAGGGTGTCAGAGGTCGACAGTTGTCTTGTCAATTTAGCATTAATATAATCCATTTAGATAAACTATTTCATACAAACTTTACTCGACTCGCTCAGCCTCCGTTGTAGTTTCAGTGTGGGAATAAGAGCTTTTTCAAAAATAAAGAAGTTGGTGGATCAGATACACCTTAAATTGAACATAACATTGTTAACAATCCGTTATGTGTGAATCAGTATTTGATGAGTTTTTTTGGTCATTACTAAAGTACTTACCTGGTTCACTGCTTACTTTCTAGTGCCAGAGAGCGAGGGTACCCAGGTCTCGTTGGCTGTAGCTCATTGCAGGGCTCCCGACACAACCAGACATTTAGGGCCTGTCCTCACGAATACGTTTTTCTCGAATCCGGATAAATACTTTATCGTATCTGCCTCACATCCCGACGGATACAGCGTTTTCGGGGTGTGAAAACGGTATTTTTTAGAAACGGGTCCCAGAGTGGGGAAATCCAAAAATGCCGGATTGCCCGGAGTCGTCTGGACAGCGAAAATGGATTAGCCCCGCCTCTCTAGCCTTTAACCTTCGCCACCGCTGCTAGACACGTCATAACAACAACAACAATGGCGGACTACTACTACTTGTTTGTAAACAGTGCATGCTCCATGGCTTCTCCTCTGGTTTTAGTGTGGAGATTTTTTTCGAAACAACATCGTATTGGGTGATAGCCAGCTAGATATTTTTTGGGCATTGGTGAGATCCCGTCGAAGTCTTAGGGTCACGTCTTCAAACAGTACACACATAGCGATCATCCCCACAGAAGTGAGCACCAATTTGCCATTTGAGGGCATTCGTCAGTGAGCTCCAAAAACTGGGTTAAAGTCATGTAGTGTGAACTTGGCATAAAACACCTCTGTGCAATGCATAAAGATGAAAAATGTGTTTCCATTTGTCCTTTTCCTATTGAAAAAAAGGAATCTATCACATTCCCCCAGATCAGAAGTGGACTAATTTGCTGTAGTTTTTAAAAATGCGTTTGGAAGCGGTAAGATGTGTGACAGACTAAATAAGAGGATTAAATGTCTCGGGTGACATTTTTTTGGAGCGCGCTCATACAAGCCTTCGTCATTATTCTGACCCATATCCATACATTAAACTGCAGGACCCATCCACAGATTCCCTGATAAAATGATCCCTGAGGGCTCTTAACAAAACAACCCTCCATTAGCTCAAAGACCCAACCCCTCAACGGTGACCCCCCCCCACTTTAAACGCTGCTTTAATGACATCGTTCACAAACGGAGCTCTTTGTGCTGGGATTCGCCGCTGTGTTACTTTAATGGAGAGCAGCTTTCCAGGGTTGCTCTGTTTTTTTAGCCTCAGCGTTATCTTCAGAGGCTAAGGGTTGATGATTGGTTGGGAGGGGGGGTTGTGCATGCTTTAGAGGTCAGAGGTCAACAAGGTAGTTAGGCGCTGATGAAGTAGAGGTGAAGAAGTTTGTTGTTGGTTTTAGAAAAGAAGATCTTGAGAGGCCCTTAAAGATTGAAGAAGCATTCTGTTGTTTTCACATGTTGTAGTCCATTGACAAGAAATCCTGCTATCATTTTCATTAGTTTTAAGATTAACTTCCTTCCTTCCAGGCAGCCATTGGTTTCACTTCACTGCTGCAGAGATAGACAAATGGACAAATATTAACAGTATATGCTCTTATTTTGAAGTATACACAAAGTCTTCCTTTCTCCTCGCTCTTCATTTCTTCCCATCATGGTGGCTTTCCAGGCTGAGAGGAAGATTTGTTCTTTTTTTCTTGGTGTTCAACCTCCTCAGCTGCTTGAATTTCTGCTGATCTTCAAAGTTCAGCCTCCAGGTGCTCAGAGCACGTGCTGCCTCTGTTGGACTCATCAGAAGAAGAAGAAGAAGACGCTCATTGAGCAGATACATTCAGATCAAAGAGAGCTGGAGATAATGTGACCATGAAGGCATCATTTACTGCTCATTCAGCCGTTATCAGGAGGCAGAGACACACAGCTGCCAGATGAAAGGACGTCCAAAGGAAAGTCGATAAGACAATATTTAGATAAAGACTTATCAGACTGATGTTCATGCAGGTGGATGAACTCTGCTGCTGACAATGCATCAGAACATGACTAACAGTCAGATAAGGTCTTTGTGGTGGGATTTGTGGAAGTTACAGCTGGATGTGAAGATGTCTGAACTGTAGGAAGAGATGCTTTTAACAGCGTGAAGGATAGAGAGAGCTGTGGCATTTGCCTACAGCTTATGGGAAATGATGTTCATTAAACTACATAATGA